AAAAAAAATGAGGCAGCTCTGAGAAATTTAGTTTTCTAAGACCACATAAGACATAATCACTTGTCAACAGCAGCTACTAAAATTATTGTGCCTTTTTCATTGGCAACTGTTCCAAATTGCAAGCACAGACTCGGAAGGAGTATATAAATCATAACAGGAGTTTCCAAACAATTCATTAACTGAATTAGCATAATTCATGAAAAGTACCTTTAGTCCTGCTTAATTGCTCAATTAACATTTTTCACATGGTGAAAAAGAATAATAGCACTCAGCTAATAATATATGTCCTAAAATGAAATATGATCTAGCTAGATTATTAACATGGTTCAAATTTACTTCATTTTGTACTAGGGAACTTGTCAAATATTTTACATTTGACTTCTGGCAAATCCAAGTTCATCAAGGCCAGAACCAAGCAGAAGGGCTCACTAAGATGAGAAATAAAAGTTCAGTACCTCATCTTTTCCTGTGAGCAAAGTATTTTCCAAAATTACTCCTGTCTCTGAAACTAGCACTTTCACTCTGTATTGGTTAATGATTCCATTTGGTTGTCTTGGTTTCTTCCAAGTGATTCTTATTTGTGTGGCTTCCACCTCTGCAAGTTGTAAATCAAATATTGCACCTGGAACTGGGGGAAAAAAANGTGGCCAGAGTGTATTGAGCACATGGTTCAGTCAACTTTCAAGTAAGTGCTAGAAGCTGGGGAAATCTTGGACTAGAAACATAGTGACAATATGTTTGGGGGAAATAACAGCACAGGTAGAAGCAGCAGCAATTCTGAACCAAAACAGCAGAAGCCAATTGCTGAATAGCCATCACGTGTGTCTCTAAAGCCCAGTGATTGGTGCACTTGTCCTAACATGTATTCTTTGTGCGCCCCAGGGAACAGCCAGATCTGGATATGACTAGTCTGGAGGCATATAAGGGTCCTTACAGGTGAATAGCTGCCTGGGTGAGGTGAATGAAGACAGTGAAGCAAAATCAGTGCTGACTGCACTTCCTAACAGAAACACGGGGGCGGGGGTGGGGGGTGGAATAAGACTCCCAGTGCAGATAGAAGCAAACACATCGCCCAAAGATCCTGGTACTCTTATTTTAAATCTATGAAATGCGGGCCGAGCCCGTGGCGCACTCGGGAGAGTGCGGCGCTGGGAGTGCAGCAGCGCTCCTGCTGTGGGTTCAGATCCTATATAGGGATGACCGGTTTGCTCACAGCGCTCACTGGCTGAGTGCCGTGCGGCTGGTCTCAAAAAGGACAAAAAAAAAAAATCTATGAAATGACTTAAACCTGTTTTATTTAGTTAGGTTGATTTCTTTAATCAAACATACTTTAAAAAAAAAAATGAGGCAGCTCTGAGAAATTTAGTTTTCTAAGACCACATAAGACATAATCACT